TAGATGTGATATTTCGAATGTATTGTAATATTTCGAATATAAATTCATTTGAAATAAGAACAAGAATTATGTTATAAGAGTGAGAATTAAAATATATTTCGTATGATTAATTCTGTTTTGTTGTATATTTTGATTGTGATGCTTTGTTTGACATTTTCTTAATTGTAAAAATTATTATATTTTACATATTATGTGAATGTATGTATGTAAGTCTCTATTATAAAATATTTTTTCTTAATGAGCTCGTGAATCTCACTCCAATTCACCCCCATCTAGGTCAGAAGAAGTCAAGGATCAAAGAAAGATGACGAAGAAAACTTTATTAATTTTTATTTAATATTGTAAATTAATTTAGATGCATCAATTATGTGTAAACAAATAATTATCCAGTCACAAGGAATATTTATTAAAGTATAGTCTACTGCATATTTAATATTTATCTGTTTCATTAGTTGAAAATATTGTGATAACGTTCGTACCCACCGATATTGGGATTTGAGATGTTACAAATTTAATTTTAAATTAAATTTTACAATAATCTCAATTATTATAATAGCCACACATATTATATTGTTACACTAATAATATAATAACCCAAAAATATAAATATTAATTTTCTATTTCAAAAATAAAAAAATTCAATTTGTCTCCAATACTAATTATATTCTTGATGCTAACAAATAATATAACAATATTCTATTTAGACCAAAAATTTTATTTATTTAATTAAATTAAATTTCTAATTTAATTCTCAAATAATTAAAATAATTAATCTATTTAGTAAAGTCAGAACACTCGTTAGTGTGCGACTTATAGATTCAACATTAAACTAGTAACAAATTGGTCAAACTAATTTACTAATTAAAGGTTAGCGTCTAACAACACTTCTCAACGATAAGATAACATGAAATGTACAATTAATCTCAAGAACCTGCTAAAGAAATATATAATATTTTCTTCCGTCATTATTGTTACGGGTTAACCATAAGATATGGTTTAACTGTCAAATCTCAATAAATAATCAACTATGTTTCATGTCAATTATAATTGACTAATGAATGACATAAAAAACTCATTTCTTCTTTCATTCAAATGTCCTGACCAATATCTTATTTTATTTATTATAGTAAATAACAATATAGAGTTTAAATTTATTATCAAAGTTGATAGATTTTGCCTTGATAAATCATTAATTTTACAAGTATTAAATCACATCTAATATCCTTTCAACTACAGTTTTATGACCATAAATGTTCATAATTAAAGTATAATAAATGATTTGTCAATTAATATGATGATTTCATCTCTAAGAAAATTTTTGTCTCATCAAAATAAGAGAATACTCTATTGTTTAGGATAATAACTACATATTGCATTCCTATATGTAGAAAATAATTTATGTGTGATAAAATATCATCAAGGTATAAAATTTATAGTTTTAAAACTGATCATTTAAAACAATATTTGTAACACCCAACATTTATTTTTTTATATATATATATAATTATTTGTTAATTGAAT